TGTTCCTGCTGCTTTTCACCACTCAGCCATACCAGTTTGCACTGCTTGGGTGCACAGGGTGGAAGTGAGGAGGCTGAGGGAAGTGAGGAAGATAGACAGAACTGCATCTATCTGCAGCACTACTGCTTTATTCTGTTTAAAGTATTTTTGTAAGTATGGGCTTGGATGTTGTCAAAATTGCATTTATTAGCAGGACATTTTTTTCTGGAGAAGACAAATTTTTACCAGTCAATGCCCCTAGTCCCTCCAGGTTTAGGAAAAAGAATCCACGTATCTCAAGACAGAGAAGCTTAGCATATGTATACTCTCTGTGAATGTCAGCCAGTGTAAGTTTAGAGGACGTGTTAAAGCTAAAGTAAATTTACTTCAAACTAGAGGCAATGAGGAAGGGTTAAAGGACATTAACAAATTGTAGATGTATGGTAACAGCTGATAAATTTATTTATACACCAAACTAAAGGATTGCTTCTCTTGTTCTCCAGATTACAAGAGGAATCTGCAGATCAAGACAATAGTACCTGTTAAATGTTGAAATAACACTCCATTTCAGGGGATATGCATTCAGTAATCTACATAGTACCTTTCAGTTTTCCAGGCAATGTTATCTGTTACAAGACTTTGCAGGGCAGATGTTGTCTCATCATAACTTAGCAATGGGGTGGCAGGAACGATGCAAAAGTTTGATTTTCATTTTTCTCTGATGTAGATAGGGAGCAATCAGCAGCTCCTCTTCTCTGAAGACTGTGTGGCTTGTTCATGGGACAGATGGTACAAGATAAGTCTTCCCACATCATTTAACAGAAGTTGTTTCCCATGGACAGATTTTGCTATGGAGAGAATCTAATTGTATAGCCCACTGGCAGAACATGTAAGGCACCAAATTTCATGCAGTTTTGCTTACACAGCTTATTGGAGGCAGTGTTTGGTATAACCTAACCCCTCACCCCCTGACCTGTCATCACCATTCTAGATTTAGAAGCCTAGAAAAAATTGCCTATATTGGTCTAAGTGGCTCTAAAATACTTCTATACTTTGATTTAGAAACTGAAGATGCTCTGTTTTTGTTTCTAGCAGAAAGTGCTACAAATGCAAAACTTTTGCTTTCTGAAAGCAATCATTTTTTTCTTATTAATATTTCATTTTCTCTTGGTGTGAAATCACCCTGAGGGTCCTACTCATTATTTGTGTGCTAAAATGGTGCTTCTGTGTTCCCTTTAAGATTGCTCTGTCAGAAGCACATTACTTTTATGCTTGAATGAAAACATGCTTGAAGACCATTGGATCCAAACTCCCCAATGCAGTTTCTCAAAGGATCTTGCTTCAGGTTTCTTTGCAAAAGTTGGTCCAAGACCAGAAGTTGAATTCTGCATTGGTGCTGAAGCAATTCAGATGCCTGGTACTACAGGGCATTTTTGAAAATAGCAACTGATGTGCGGGTTTAACATCGAATGAGGTCTGTCTCAGAGTGTCAGGAGCTATAGAGCTGAAGTGTGGGCCCTTGCCAATGCAACAGGAAAAATATTCCCAAACTCTGATGCCTTCCAAAACTTGCAGATGAAAGTGCCCATTGAGAAGATCAACCTCAAAAAGCCAGATTTTCTTTGAAGATATTAAAGGAACTTAATTTCCTCATAAATCAAAGAAGGTCATCAAGAAGATTTGTGAAATGATGAAACAAGATTTAGTCTAGTTCATGGCATTGTGCAATAAAGCTTATTGCCTTTTTTGCTTTCTGCCACTCTTCAGTGTCTGACAGCAAGGAAAATAAGGTGGCATACATGCAGGACTGTAAAGCCACTTAATAAAGTGTATGTTTTTTCAGTTTGTTTTGGAGGCTTTTTATTTTAAGTGAAATAATGTACTCAAAATACATTTTTAATATCTAATTTCTAATTTAATATCTAATTTAATGTCTAATATTGATCTACCTTCCAAGATTTTGCTGTGATACCTTCCAGCAAATAAAGACAAAGTGTCAGCTTGCACAGTGACCTCATTGGAAAGTTACTTCTGGAATAGCAGCTGCAGCAAGTGCTAATCTAGAGAATTGTCAAGGAAATAAGGGGGACTAACTCACTTTCCTGGAGTGTCATTTAGGATTATATTAAATATTCTAATAATGTGCAGACCCCAGCATTCAGAAGCTGTCACAGGAGTATCAGAGGAATCAGGGTTTGCATAACAACAGGAGGGGATATCCTTGCTGTGTTTCCTCTTGCTCTCTTGTTCCCAGTCCTCCCTGTGACAGGAATGTAAATTCTAAACCCCTGAACGTGGCAGCAAGCCAACCTGCAGAAGGCAGCTGGCAGGTGGGCAGCAAGTGGTCAAGACAGCAGGAGAACACCAACAGTTGCTATGCCTTTACACTCAGTTTAGCTCTTTAGGTATTTCGGAGCACGCACGGTCTGTACAGGAGGCCGTGGATCGGATGTCCAGGCTCACGAAGAATGAGCATGCAATCTTCTATCTGCACATCACTCTGCTTTCCTGAAGACTCTGGCTTTGAGTACTTAAAGATCTGTTTAGTCAAGAGAAACCTCAACTTACAAGGTGTTTCTTCTTTTTGCATGCAAACAGAATGTTCATTAAAGACTCTTCTGTGATGGTTTTGTGGCCAAAGTGACCTTCCTCTGTACAGTTCATGCATATGAATTCACCACATAACCTTGTTTGACCTTAGACGGTCCTTTTGAGGGAAAAGGGATACTGCCTACCCGGTAACCAGTCTGGTGCTCTGCAGAATTAATTGTGTTTATAAAGTAAGATAAAATATTGTGTCTGTGATTACTATTTGTTTTAAGTAAAAATAATTTAGAAGCAGCTAAGTGGGAAGAAGCCAAAAAAACATATGAAGAAAATAATATCCAAAAAGCTAGAAAACCAGCAATCAAACAGGAACAATAACAAAAAAAATCAATAGGAAGAAAAAGGACATATACTGAATCCAATTAACTTTGAATTGATTATAGAGAGAAAAACAAAACCAAATTTTAATCCTCCCTCTAATATTTGATCCTGAGAACACTGCACTTATTTAAAACATTCTCATAATCAATTTCCTTAATACTGTGCTTTTTCCTCTGAGACTGCACATTACACCACATTTGACATTTTTCAGAATAAAATAAAAATAAAAACAAGAAGCTGGTATAATCAGCTTCAGTTTTGAGAACTAAAATAAAAAACGCACAATCAAAGAACTGAAAGGATAATTAGTAACAATGAATACAAAAGTGGCAGCTTAAAGCCTCATTCAGATTTAGCAATATGTCAGAGCAGGGCTAAGGAAGCAGAAACAATGAGAAAAATGTTTATTCTCAACAGACTGGGGGACAAATTCAGACCATAGCTAAGGCCTAACTTATATTTCAGTTAAAATTCTTGCAGTTAGAGCCTAACACTGAGTATAAAGAGGTATTTTTATTTATTCACCTAACTGCTTACTTTGCTACCGAACATTTCCAGGTGATCAAATTGCTCTGATGGCTGTAAAACTTTTACATCAAGAAAATGTCCATATACAAACCAAATAAGTGGGTAAAAAAGTTAAACATAAGGCAGTGTCCAGACCTTTTAGGACTTTAAATTTCATAAGCAAGATAATTAAAAACAACTAATGACAGATAACAATTTTCTAGCATGATGAAAACATCTGTTCTACTTTTGACTTCTTATGTTACTAGTCTCGAAGATTCATTGACTTTCTAGGCCAAAGGAAGATGATGTCAGTATTAAAAGTAAATATCAGAAAATGGGTAAATTTAGGATGTGCAATAGTACATCCTAAACCTCAGTGATATTTAGCAGAGAGCATACTTGTTCTTTTGTTTCTTATCAGTTGTGAAGTATCTATTCACATATTATTTCTATTACTAGCTGAGGTTACTCTCTTTTCACATCTAAAAACTGAAAGTTGAGTGTAATTTAAACTTGTTGTCCAATTTGATTCTGTTGTGAACAGAAAATATTGCATGTCTAAGGCACCTATCCAAGAAGGTGAAGTAAATTGTCCTTTAAATGTGCTTGCTTCTCAGCCAGTGTAAAAAGCTTGAAGTGTTCATCTCTCTGTTAGACAGTTACATTTAAGTAAGAGGAATCACAGCTTGACATCCAAATTAACAAAGGCATCTGTTGGTGTAAGCAGTATTATATTGAGAGATCTGACTTCAAAACGCTACAGTTCATAAACTCAGTAGCTTTGGACACTGTGATAAAACATGCAAATCCATGAACATTTCTTGCAAGACACATTCCTGAAATATCTCTTCTCTTGGGTTTATTTCCTTTTTTTTTTTCTTCATCCTCTCACTCAAATTGGGCTTCACCATGATTATATATGCATATAAAGGCAAAAATAAGCAATGAACCTGTGTAGTCATGAGGGAAAGCATGAGGAAATCACTTTCATTATCAAAAAAAAAAAAAAAATTGGCACCAGAAAGACATTCTTGTTAGAAGGGTGGAACTATACAAAAGGAAACTGGAGTTGTAGCAGTGAATAACATACTAGTTGTGTGTAACAGCAGGTTCTGCTCTACTCTGCACTGGTGTGGCCTTACTCTGAATATTGTGCACAGTTTGGGCTGAGGTCACTTGGTGAGTTCAGCTTGCAGGAGACAGAGGGGAGACCTCATTGTGGTCTTCAATATCCTCATGAGGAAAGTGGAGGACAGGTACCAATCTCTTCACTCTCATGACAAGTGACAGGACTTGAGGAAATGGCATGAAGTGGAGTTAGGGGAGGTTTTGGTTGGATTTCAGCAAAAGGTGTTTCACCTAGAGGGTGGTTGGGCACTGGAATATACTCTCTGGGGAAATGGTCACAGCGCCAAGCCTGACATAGTTCAAGAAATGCTTGGAAAATGCTTTCAGGCAGACAGTGTTTACCTGGTGTTGTCCTGTGAAGGGCCAGGAGTTGACTTGGATGATCTTTGTAGGTGCCTTCCAATTAGACATATTCTATGATTCTGTGATTCCGTGATTCTATGACCTGTCAGTGAAGACCTGCAGACAGTAGATCTTATTGGCCCTGACTCAGTACATGAAAGGATGACTTGGCTTGCTGACCTCCAGCATCCTATTTCTTGCAGTAGTGAGAAAGGTCTTTGCATTTGAAAGAACTCTGTGCTTACATAGAACACATATGACAAGGTCCAGCCGCAGTTTATAAATCTGTCAGTGCTGCATAATAGAGACTGTCTTATTTCCATCTGCCAAGACTTGAGCAGGGCTGTGCATGAATTGAGGTGTTACTCAATGTATTTGGAAAACTTTAAACTGAAATATTGAAATGGAATTTAGCAAAATTTGAACAGCTGAGCAGGATCACAGCTTTAGCCTTGGGTGTCTGTGTGTTCTGTGCAAGTCCCAGTTTTGGTAAGTCCCTTTGGCTCTGCTGAAGCTGTGGGATGTGAAAGTGCCTGCCAGCTTCTGCATCCCTGAAACTGAATCTAGTCACATACCATCTGCCTTTCCTCCTCAGGCTGTGGTCTTCAGCCAAAGCATATTAAGACATACAAGAAGACAGTGACAGCAAGTTTCAACAAATCCCCTGAATGTATGGGGGGTTCAGGACTTGGGTGAAGTAGGGTACTATCAAGGACATGAAGCATAGATTAAGAGATCCCTCAGGTCATATGAGTAGAGACAATATATTCATTGTTCCTGTGCAAGACAGTAGTGGATATTGAAAGAGGGATATTCTGCCCTTTGGTATAGGCATGATCTCTTTGAATTTTGCACAGGCAGCTGCCCAAAATTAAATATGCAAGTAAGTAAAGCTTCTGAGGAGAAGAAATGTTTTCTAATCAATTTCCATTAGATAGAAAGATGTTATGGATAAGTAGGTGGTAAGCTTTTTTGCCAGTGAATTAATACATCTGTGTAATGAGCATCAATTGTTGTCAGAAATGTGTGTGTAGTCTAGAAGACTTTTTACAAATTGGCAGTGACTGGTCAGGCTGACAACAGGAGTATCTACTTGAATCTATTCTGACCTTTGGTTCATGGCATATGCTTGTGTCATGTCACATTACCTCATCATATCTCAAAAGCTAAATGTCATACAGTGTCACATCTTAAGCTAAGGCAGCTCATCAGCCCCACTGGTGTCACATCATGTACACCAAAAATATAACAAAAGCACAGTAAATACAACATCCTGTATATTATTTTAGCAGTTATCAGTCACATAAGAAGTTGAAAGCAATAATAATGTAAATGGAAAGATACAGCATAATTTATTTTGAAACTTTTTTGGACTTATTTGCTGTTATTCCCATAAATCATTTTGCTGTGTGTTGACAAATCTTTTGAACAAGTCTCCTCAATACTCAGAACCACACACCATTAGAAATCTGCTGCTTTTGACTCCCTGAATTATCACCACATTTAAGGTGAAAGTTGCACCAAAGGGAAACTGGCTAATAAACCTGTCCTTGTCTTCTGCTCATGGGATTGCCCTTCTTATCACGCTCCTACTTTTGTCAGCCTAGTAACTTAATCAAGCTTGTGTTTATAAGGCTTATGTCATCTGAGTAGGAAACAGAAGCAATCCTTTGTAACTTAGGGCATCAGTCACATGCTTCTAAAAATGACTGACTGTGGAGATTGACTGCCAGGACATAGTTTTAGATGAATGGCTGACAAAAACTGTGAGTGATACACAGGTTTGGATAAATTATCATCAGCCTATGGAAAGGTCATAAACTTACGAGCTTATAAATTTATAAACCTATGGGAAAGAAGTCAGACAAAGGAAACATTCATGTTACAAACTGGTTAAGTAATCTCTCCAGGTCTACACAGCCCACGCAATGCTAGTGTGTCACGTAAGGTTGCATGTGGTCAAACCAGTAAAGGTTTAATCTTTTAAGGACAGGTAGTTGCATGCAGCTGCAAAATGACACCTGGTGGCCTTCTGGGAGAGGTACTGTCATGCTTTCTCAAGACAAGGGCATAGGAGTGGGCAGGTGCAGTTGCTTTCAGAAGACCTTTGCTTCTGGGGACTGATAAGTTGTGAATATCAGGACATAGCAAGTTTAAAATTAAATGCTTGTGACTGTTCATCTAGCTGCTCACACCTAGCTATCCGTGAGTGCAGGAAGATGCCATTATAATGACCATGGTTTTGTCAGGCCACATGACAAAACTTCATTTCTGTCTCTCCTTCTCCTCCCACTCCATGCTGGGCATGTAAGGAAGGAGGGAAGGAACATGCAGGATTGTGCCCTTCCTGCCAGGCTGTGTGCTAGGATATTTCCTTTTGTTGTTCTTTCTATGTTCATGCCTTGCCAGCTGCCTCACAGAGAGAATCATAGACTCATCAAGGCTGGGAAAGACCTCCAAGATAATTGAATCCAGCCTTTGACTGAACATAGCCTTACCAAGTGCCTTGTGCCGATGTTTCTTGCACACTCCCAGGAACGGTGGCTCTACCACCTCCCTGTGCGGCCTGTTGCTAGGTCTGACCACCTTGTGATGGGGTGATAGGGGCTTTGGAAACAGGAAATGAGAGGTGGGATTCAACAAGGGAAGGAGGATTTAGGAGGTAGCAACCTTAAGGACCCACGCCCTTACATACCAGATCCTTCTCTGGGACATGCTGAGCATCTGTAGGCTCCTCAGTAGCCCAAGAAACAAAAAGTATTTGTCAGCTTCCAGACTTCTTGGAGACACAAAATTTCTTTCAAGACTACAGTTCCCCCATCACTACCTCTTGCTTTCCTGTTCCTCCTTCAGTTGAAATGTCTGATACTTACTAACTAAATAATTAACTGAATCAAGCATTTTAATAGGCTAAGTAATTATAGCCCGTGGTAATGATAAATGATATGGAGGGGGGGAGTTTCAATTAAGAAATATTTTCCCACCCCTGTGTTGCATATGACCTTCAATGTATAGGCCATATTTCTCATTCTGCCACCCTAAGGGAACTGCTTCCCTTTATATATATTAAAAAATTTGTTAATGGTGCACTTGTAATCACATGGCTCCATTTGAACTAATCTCATTCCAGACTTTCCCTAGAGGGTTTAATTATTCTGGTTTGTGCAGAATTGCACCCAGTTTTAATTCTGTGTTTCTGACTGCAGCTGCTGGTTCATTTGAACATCCATTCTCCAAATCAAGCTCACAAAGTTTGACGCAACAATCAAACTAACAGCTCAATGAACAACTGTAAGTGGAACCTGTCAAACAACAGCTATATGTACCTTTCTACAGGTTAGCAGATCATAATTCTGATCTATCTTTTCAATGTGGGAAAAAAACATGGTGTCAGTTATTTAAACTATGCAAATTAATTAGGCATTTTCCTTTTTGTCACAGGTATTTAAAAAAATCAAAACTTGAGAAGAAGTTCCTTCCCTGATATCTTCCCATTAAAGGTCTGGATCAACAACTGACATCTGCTACCTTTCTATAAATCTAGAGATGATACCTGTATTCCAGCAGAGCAGTTCAGGATTTATACCAACTTCAATGAGAGCTAATTTGGCCTTCTAAATATGTAATTGTTCTTAGCCAAAAAAAACCAAACAAAAAACTATTAATCCCTCAGAGCAGCCAGTGATTGTGGCATTTTAACAGTAACAGCCAGTATGATGGAGTGTTTTCAGTGCTTACTGACAGATGGTCATTGTGTTAAAAAACAGCCTCCAATAAATAATGATCATATCCACATGAGAGGTGGAAAATAGTTCTCTATTGTCAATCCTTTTTGCTGCACATAATGAAGCAGAAATGTTTTTTCAATTCCATTTTATTCTGATACTCAAAGTCAAAAACTTCAATTTAAATGAAAAGTGATAAGAATTTGAAAGCAGAAATATTTCAAGTTGTTTTTATTTGTTTGCTTACCCATTTCTTTGCATCTAATAAACTTTTTGGTTAATGATATTCAATCCTTATTTCATAGTATACATTTCCCCTCAGGTGCCAGTGAAGCTTCTTATAAAAATTCACAAGTAAGCTCAAAGTGACAATAGTTTCATATTCGCAAATGACGGGTTTGGAACTTATTCCTCGTGACATGATGAGCATGAGTGCCCAGTACTCTGTATGGCTGGTAAAGAGGTTTCATTCTAATCATAATGCTCCAGAACATAATGTGTACTAACAGCTTATGTCAGTCACAGAGCTGTGAATTTACTACTGTTACTAAAGATGTTAAAGAAGTTATGACTCTTATACTGTAAAATAATCTGAAGCATCAAATGTGCTCAATACGTGCCTCAAACATATTACTACATGTCTTGCACACTAGGAACAGTGCAGTAGAAGTATGAATATTTCTGACTGGGTAGGAGGTGAGAGTCAAATAAGGGGAACAAGTTGTCTTGCATCAGATTGTTGATGAACAAAAGGAGTATTTTTCACAAGCACCGAGACTGACATACAGAACAATGCAGACTTCAATTTTTGAGAATAAATTGTTGATCAGTAGTTATCCCAATTTGCACTGCAAAAAGTCTCAATAATCCAACTGAGCTGAAGTAGAATGATGAAGCATAACTAGAAAAATATTACACAGATATTTGTTTACATGTTGCCTGTTCAGGAGTTCTAAAAGTAGCTAAACTGGTTTTTTTTTTTTCTTTTTGTCTTGAAAAGAGCAGGTAAAGCTAAACATATGGAATTAACATATCTATGAAGCAAGAAGGATTCCTGTCCGCTCTCAGAACCAAGCTATCCTTCAGCAGTAATTTTCAGCCATGTCTTGTACAATCTACAGCAAAAACACTCATGACTTCCAAATCTTTATCTGTGTGGGACCTGATTGCTCACCTCTTCACATTTGCACTTGACTACATGTTTGAGGTTTCAAACTGGATTATTTTACTGACTCTTTGTAATCAGGGGAAAAAGTAAAACTTCCAAAACCACAAGCATCTTGCCTAAAAAAGTTTTCAGGGCACACTTTGCATAAATTCATGACTATGGAGGTCAATGATCAGATTGAAATCAGAAACTTCTATGTGTCTGAATGACCCCTTCCAAGGGCAAGTGCTCTTGGGTCATTACCTGTAGGTTTTATATCCCTCTATGTGTTTATATGTATTTAAATTAGGAATTATCTGAACTGGGTTCTGCAATTAGAAACAAGGAGCTCTGCTTTTATTAGAAGCCATAATGAGTTCTCAGAGCTAGCCACTTGACCCTGACAAGGTGTGGGAAAGGTTTTCTATGGTGGTTCCTGAAAATGAAGTATCCTCTTCAAGACCAACTAATCTCAGTAAAGTGAGAGACATTCTCATATCTCTTAAGTAATGATTTATAATTCAGAAGAAGATTTATGAAAACAGCAGCATGTCTTTTGTCTTCTATATATAGGACGACATTAAATGCTTAAACTAAGTGAGCACTTTTGAAACAACTTGTAGGCAGTTTGAAATCCTGTGAGGAAATGAGTTCATGATTTCACCTGCAAGAGAGCTATCACAGCTCACCCATAGCTAGCATTCTGATTAACCTCGAAAGCTGAATGATTATAGAGATTTTCCTTATCATATTGGAAAAGTGGTATCTTAGAATCACACAATATGTGGAAGATCATCTAATTCCAACCCCCTTGTCATGGGTAGGGACACCTTCCACTAAACAAGAGTGCACAAATACTCTGTTTAACCTGGCCTTGAATACTTCCAGGGATGGGGCACCCACAATATCTCTGGGAAAACTTTTCCCATGTCTCAATGACCCTCACAGTAGATATTTTCCTAATATCTAACTTAAACCTTCCCTCTATCAGTTTAAAGCCTTTACCCCTTGTCCTGTCATTCCAGCCTTTATAAAAGTCCTCCTTTGGCTCTCTCATAGCCCCCTTTAGGTACCAGAAGGTGCTATAAGGTCACCCTTCTCCAGGCTGAACAACCCCAACTGTCTCAGCCTGTTCAGACAGGAGAGGAGCTCCAGCCATCTGACCATCTTCCTCTGGACTCACTCCAGCAGGTCCATGTCCTTCCTGTGCTGGGGTCCCCAGAGCTGGATGCAGAACTGCAGGTGGACACACAAGAGCAGAGTAGAGGGGGAGGAGCCATTCCATCAATCTTCTGCCCCCACTACTCTGGATGCAAGGCTGGCTTTCTGGGCTTTGAGTGCACATTCATCGCCAGATGATATTGAGTTTCTTGTCAACCAACATCCTCAAGTCCTTCTCTTCAGGGCTGCTCTCAATCTTATCTTCATGTGTTTTCTTGTCAAGGCTGCAACAAAGCAAAATGGATCTTGTAACAGCAGTATCTGGATAAAAAGATGACTCCTGGCTCTTGGCAGTTTCAAGATCTTTTCTCTTAAGTATTTCCAGCCTAAAGAATTCTATGGTTCTAAGATTCCTTGTCATATTTTAAGCCATTGTTTGAAAGTTAAATGTATGAAAAAATGTATGAAAAAAAACAGAAACAAGGAGAGAAAGAAAATCTTGCTTCCTAATTTTCAACTGTCATGGTCTTGTGAAACTACTTTCCTGTCCAGTGGTACCTTTGATATGTTCTCTGATTGTACCCAGATAAATCTTGCTTTATCTTCTTACAGAACTCTCACCCACCTATTATTTCCATGTATGAAAAGCAGAGGGAGACATAGGAAATATTTCTCCAAATAAAAGGATTTGGAGCTATCACTGTACAGGGAAAGGAAAACATTTCTAACACATGTAGACACATACTGGAATAGAATTTGCAGAGCTTTTGTAAAGTTTGAATTGTGAATCCCAGTGTTCCTATAAGGGCTTTATTTGTAGTAACACCTAAGGAGATCATGTTAAGTTTACAGACAGCAAAAGACACATGCACACACACATTCACAAAGTGTATCTCCATGCAATACCACACTTATGACAATACAATTTGTTTTATGCCAAGTGCTGTGTGCCACAGATCGCTGTCTCAGCACAGTACTCATGAACTCCACCAGTGAGTGGAATTTATACTCAGTGAGTTTTTTTATACTCAGTTCCTAGACATGGTCTTCCAAAACTGATTTTTTCTCTCTCTAGAAAGCTTTGAGTCTTGAAGCCCTGTCATGTCTCAGACTAGGGACATGCTTTTCTCCACTGATGGTTAAATGAGCATCTCTTATATTACCACACTGTGGGATAATCTTTGGCAAATTTTCATTATAATTTTGAATTCTGGCCCAGCATTCTTATAAGCTTATTTGAGTTTGGTGTAATCCTTAGTTTTATACAAGTTCTTCTATTCAAATAACAAATATTTGGATCCTAGATGACTCTTAAGAGATTTAATGTGGAATCTCCGCCTCCTGCCAGTTTGCCAATGATTACTTTCTTGGAACTTAGGAACTTCTTTACAGCCATCTCTTTATCTACTTGATTGTGAACCAAGGCTGCTCTCTATGAAAGCAACCTACAATCAAGTGATGAGATATGATTCAGGTAGGTGGCATTTATGTTTGGTCACAAATTAGCTGGACCACCAGGTTCAGAGTGTATTACAACAGCAGTAAGTCCAGCTGTCAGCTACATAGTAACTTTCCTTCAGGGTTAACACTGAGGAAAATAGTATCTTTATTAATGAGCTGTACAATCAATACATTTGTGCATAATACACAGCAAATTCTGTGTATGCAGCAAGATGAAGGGGAGTCAAAGCTTCAGTTAATCTCTGGAGGACGGGGCTGATGTGTCAGTGGATGCTGGCAGCCTGAAGGAATGGGCTGGCAGAACATTAACACTGCTCAAAAACAAATTAAATTTTTGTGATCCCTAGTGGAAAACCCCTATGTAACAAAACTGGTTGGGGGGGGGGGTGTGATTGGACAGGAAGCAGCTTTACCCATGGGGGCAAGAAGTTTCAATAGCAATTTCAATAGCAATTTCAAAAGCATTTGCAGTAAAGGAATCTAACCTTACCACCCTCTCCAAGTCCCTGAAAGGAAGTTGTAGTGAGGTGCGGGCTGGTCTCTTCTCACAAGTAACAAGTTGCATTAGGAAGAGAGGAAATGGCCTCAAGTTGTTCCAGGAAACTTTAGACTGGAGGTATTTAAAAGACTTGTTGATGTGACATTTAGAGACATGGTTAAGTGATGGACTTGGCAGTGCTTGGTTTACTGTCAGACTCGATGTCAGAGGTATTTTCCAATCTAAACAAATCTATGATTCTCCTTTCCTCCCCTGAATACAGTGTCTCTTTCATGATGAGTAATTTGGAGTCAGATAGGGTTAGGAACTGGAAGCCCAGAACAGCCAATATGGAAACCCAGTTCAGTCCTGCCTACCCCTCCAGAAATAAGGCACTTAAAAGGCAGGTCTTGCGTAATTTCCTTATAGGAATTTAATCCTCACTAGGATCTGGCCTTTTATAATCCTGAACTTAACTGAAGATCTTTGTAAAATCATGGACTTAAATTAGGCCCACATTCCCCATCTACAAATCAA